CAGTACAAATACCTGCACGCGTTGCGCGTGTTTTGCTTGCTTGAGTGTTTGTGCATTATATGAGTGGCTTTGGAATATAAATCGCAGCACGTTTCAGATGAAAAAACGCGACTTCTATTTCTGAAAATATCACAGTTAGGAGATTTATAACGAGTGGTTCCCTACATTATTACAGCAAAGCGCGTGATTACAGTGCAATGGGGCAGCTCCAATGCTATTAAATTAAAGATGATGTACCACAGTGCAAAAAAATTAACAGTGAAAGTAACAAAAACTGGTAAAATACATTTTAATGTGCATAATTAAGTGTGAAAATAACCGAAAGATATACAGTCAAACCAAAAACTATATCTTAGACCAGATATAATTTTTGATATTTTTTTACTATAGTGGGTGCAGGACACTATAGTTCATTTATGTAAGTGAGGATAGCAAAATAAAGTAAACTGTGACAAATCATACCAAAAAATTCTCCATACAGTGGACCAGTAGTAACATTTATACAAATTTGGGACCAAAAATGATTCAGACAGAGTCTGGGAAAAAACATTGAAGTTGAGGTTTCATGAAGCTGGATGACAGCATGCCCAGGAGACTACAGGCTGTCATTAAGGCTAAAGGTTGCCCGACTAAGTATTGATAGTTGTGTAAATACTGTCATACTAACAGCTGTCTGAAACGGTAATACTAACCGTGGGGAATTTTATCATGATTTATCGTCAAACCGGTAATCGTTACATCCCTAATCGGTCGACCACTAGTTAGTTAGTGTGTAATGTTGCTGTTTGAGCATAAACAATTTCTGCAAAGTTACGAAGCTGAAAGTTCAATGCAAACGAAGATATCGACTTTTAAAATTCTGGCGGTTTAATGCCTACAAAAATGGCTCGTAGGGACTACAATGAGTTACTTCCCGGGTTCGTGACATCATCCCCTGCTCTACACATGCTCTGCATCTCTCTCTCTATCTCTATCTCTCGCTCTCATTCAGCTCAGCTCCAACAATGAACTGTTCCATTTATACACTTATTTTCACATAGCTATG